GTCTTCAATTTGTTTAAAATTTGCATTTTTTTACTTTCTTGAGATTGGTAATAAATAAAATACTTGCATACATTACATTATATTGTACAAATAATGATTTCAAGCATTATTTACAGCTGAAATCTGATGGATCTTTGCAACTGTTTGTTATTTATTAAACACGCAATTTACTACTTAGTTTCAGAATATTTTTGACGTAAAACATTTTTAAAATATTTGAAATTAAACGCAAAAAATTCGCATTAGTACTTTCAGAGCTGTAAAATATAATGCTTCTTTCGAATTTAAGTAATCAAAAATGAATCCCTAAAGTAAAATTTTTTTTACATAATTATTATTTGCTAATGAACAAAGTTTTATATTTCAATGAATGATTACTAGAAAAGAAATTTAATTTTTTTAAAAATTTTTATTTTAATTAACTCAGTTCGAATTATAGGAAGAAAGAAATTTCAAGTTTGTGTAACATATCATTCATAAACTGTCCTAGTTCTCTAAAACGTAAAAAAATATGCAAATTTTAATTCAAATATGCAAATTTCAATTTGGTAGTAACAAATATAGGGATTTGGTTTTTGTATATTCTATTGTGCATTGTTTTTGGAAAAAAAAATGAAATATCCGAAAAATTAAATATTAAAGAATTACTAATAAATAATTTTGAAGCAATTTGTGCTGTCATAATTGCAAAGAAATATTTGAAAACAGTAAAGTTTTCGAAGCAATGAAACTGTTATACTTAAATTACTGTGGATAAATTAAATTATTCAGAAATCAAAATGTGTGTATTGTAATAAAGATATCTGATAGTGAATTAAGGTCGAAAAGGAGGGAAAAAAAGTAAAGTAAAAAAGTAATTAATATAATACAAAAAATATTAAGCATACTAATATTTCTAAAGGATTTTGCATAAAGTTAATAAATGTGTACTTGCAATTACAATAATTCGCTTCCAATTTAAGAGATTATTTGCATTGCCAAAAAATCGAAAAAAAATTAATCCAAAGCAATTTTACAAATTGCAGTGCAAATAAATTTACAGAATCGAAAAAAGAATGAATAAGTAATTATTTAGTATAAATCAAATATTTGCAATAAAAAGGAGCAAATTTGAATAAATGGCATAATGAGTGCTTAAATACAAGCTATTTACTGTAATAATTGTAAAAACAATACAATTGGTTCGCTTTAAAGAAGAACAGAAATAGAATTGTTAATAAAAAAAACAAAAAAAAGTAAATTTAATTAAAATCAAAAATTGCAAAATTAAAATAAATATTTGCTTTTTTAAATTTTAAAAAATAAAAATTGCAAAGCTGAAGTGAAATATTTGCTTAATTTATGTTGTAATATTTAAATTTGTGAGCAAATTTCGATTACTGCATCTTTTTTTCTTTTGCTTTTTTAAAATTATTGAAAATAAAGTTTTAATATTAGTATGAAATTTTAATTTTCATAATTTTTAATTTTAAAGTAAGCAAATTTGCAATTCTTTTTATTCAAAATAATTTAAACTTTTTTATAATTTTTTATGTGTCAAATATATAAATTGTAATTCACAAAAGAATTAATTGTATTTCATTAAATTATGTTGTAATTTTTAACTTTGTAAGCAAATTTTGATAATTGCATTTTAGTATTTTGAATAATTTTAAAAATTCTTTTGAATCAAAGTTAATCTTGCTGCTAAAAACCATAATCTTTTTTAAAATCTTTCTCAAACTATGTTATAAATACGTCGAAGGTATAATCTGATTAATTGGTTAAAAACTTTTTTTAATCAGTAATTTTTTGACTTTTGACCTTCAATCAATACTGAAACTTTTTACTACATTATCTAAATTATACATATATCTGTACTTGAGAATACAAATTGAAGTTCTGTAAATGAGCATATGTTGGAATGTTTTTAAAGATATTGTTTTTGAATGATTAATTTTACTAGTTTTTTAACTTACACCATAATATTACAAGTTATTATTATTCCTGAACTCTTGAGAACTTTCATTAGTGAAACTTAACGATTTATTTTTCACAGCTAAAAACTAAACCATCAGATTAATTTATAAATTAATATACTATTTTGTTAATTTAAATACTTTTTATCATTACAATAATAAATTTCAGCTTTTGATTTGTATATATTACAAGACAATAATTAAATAATGAATATCTACCATGTATTTTCACTCTGTAGTAAATATATTCTTGTCAAATACTAAATATATTAAAGTTTGCTGTCTTGCTTTCACGTAAGACTTCACGTATATGTCAAGATTAGATTTTTTTTTTTTTAAATTTCCTACGCATGAAGAAAAATATTCATAGTTGTAAGTGAATGTGTGAAGTAAAATGAATACTTTTTTATTCAAATTCATCAATTATTGGGTCATTTTGTTGTTTAGTGCTTAACGATGCGTTAGTATAATAAATGACAAACAAACGTGAATTTCTTTGTTAACCAAAAAATGTGAAAAAAAAATTCTTTTTTTTTTTTTTTTTT